GCTGCACGTATTCTTGATTGGTTTGGATGAGAACGTCAATCAAGTCTGAGTTGCTTCAGACGAGAGATCAAACTCTTTGCATCTCCATCATCGTCATCATCATCTTACGCCTCTTCCACGATCCTACACGTTCGCACTCGTCGCCACTGCTTCGAAATTCTTGGCCGAGCGCTACTGAATACGACTTCCAGCCAAAGCACCTCTTGCTTTATCCTCACTAAGCCAACATGTCGGAGCCTTATGACCCATATGTTGCGCCCTCGGGCAGCGGTGCCCAGGGTAACAACAGGACTGCGGGTAAGTGGATCGGATGATGCGGTTCTGTCTCTCTGGAGTGCCGGGCGCATCCAAGCTGGATTGCTCACTCGACTTCTACTTTCCCTGCTCTCCTACGACTCGTCGATCCGACCAATCCTTATTCGCATGCCTCCTCACGATGCATCTCGGGAAACGATGCTGCTCTACATTGATCGTGCGGCGATCTGCGAACCGCAGCTATTCAGCAGCAGATTGATGAGACGGTTGGAGTGATGAGGGACAACTTGCAGAAGGTGTCGGAGCGTGGCGAGGGACTCAACGACTTGCAGGGCAAGACTGGTGAGTAGTCGGACTGTCACGGTCGTCTTAAGTAGGGTAGGGTCGGCAGGATGAAAGCAAGAGATGAGCTATCAAGCCGTGATCGCCCGTAGCAAAGAACCGCAAGGAGCGCACGCGAAGGCGCATTGCTGGGGAAGTCACGGAGGAAGTAATGTAGCCCACGTCGTTTGTTTTCTTTGGGGGGACCCGCGGGAGAGAGGAGGGGGGGGGCAAAGTACCTGCGATGCCAACCACATCGTCAGTGTCTGCCATATTGTCTACCCACACCAAGGCATACCGGTGCGGCTGCACGACCCGCACGCTGGCCTCCAGGTCGGCCTCGTGTAGCGAAAGGCTACTTTCGCAGTGTGTGTGCTCCTTTCGACCACCTCGGAGGATGAAAGCTAAATCGAGGCGAGAAGCGATTCAAAACGCGAGCAATGGCGTCTGCTCGAGCAACGAGCGCGTGGAGGTCTTTGGCGCAGAAGATCAGCTATGCGAGCCTTCGGCGGACAGGTTTCCGGGATGGAATCTAGCGCTGTTGTATTGCTGCTTAGGAGCTGCTGCTGACCAGGTTGCTTATGCGACATTTTACTTTGCAGATAACCTCGCTGTTTCGGCGCAAGGTTTCCGTCGTGGTGCCAACCGAGTCCGCAAGCAAATGTGGTGGAAAGACGTGAGTGCTGAAGAGCATGCGACAAGCGAAAGCCTACAATACGCCAGATGGAAGCTGATTTGCGTCCGCTTCTACTGTGTTGCTCGTCGTGTAACAGATGAAGATGCGCATCATCATCATTGTGGGCATCATCATCTTGCTTTGCATCATCATCATTCCCATCGTCGTCAAGACTTCTGGCAAGTAGCGCTCTTGCCCATCCACCTGTGCAATCGTCAATGTGCGGGTCCTTTCAGGCGAAATCTTTCCGATGTCCCTCCCTTGATGAAGTTTCGGCAGCCTTACGAGTGCCTTTACTACCTGCGGTGCCGCATTGAGCGCCTAGGACCTGATTCTTTGCCGTCGTGGTCGCCACTGCGGCTCTATTCTTGTTGTCGGCAAGTGCACCCTCTTACGTTTCGCGGCTCGAGAGATCATCTTCAATGCCATGTCATGGACCGTGTTGCGACGAGGTATCGGGTGAGCTTGCCAAGTGCCGAGCGAGCAGCAGCGTTGCCGTGTTTGGGTCAGACTGCAGGTCAAGCTTCGTTGCAAAAGTGCACGAGTGTTTGCAGGTCAAGCTTCGTTGCAAAAGTGCACGAGTGTTTGCAATCAAAGAGTCCCAGCACAAGATTTGCCAACACCAAGATTGCGCCGCGTCCAGACTTTCGAGTCTTGCAGGCTGCCTGCCCATTGGCGAGACACTTGACACGATACACACGACTCACGACACGATGTTTGACTGACTGAATAGGCGGGCGCGAAGCTGAGGACTCGACCCATCAAGACTCGAGACTCACACTCGTGACTCTCTCACAGATCTGACCTTGACCCGACCCGACCCTCTCTACCCACGACTATTGCGCCCGTGTGTATATGCGTCCCGCTCAGTCGGCACGGCGCGCCCGACACAACCGATTCACAGCGTATTGCTGCTGCTGCTTGGGCCCATAATATGCAGCAGATAGATAGATGACTCTGCTGCTGTGCTGCTTGTCGATCTGCTCTGCTCTGCTCTGACTCACGACTGCATCAAAAAGCAAGCAAGGCGCGCGCGTGCATGCATGCTCTCAACTCATTCGCGACTCGCCATCACGACGCTCACGATCGAGAGGCACCCGCTAGCTGCTGCTGTTTGAATGCAGGACCATCAATCACGCTTCAACACGCTTTGATGCAAAGATTCTTAGCTGCCATTTATCCACCACATCGTTCTTGACCTGACCTGCGACCGAGCTTGCCAAGGACTGCTGCGTGGTTGCGCGGTCGTGCTTCATACCCTGCAACATCCTCCACGCCCTCCTCGAAGCCGAAGCCGACGCCGACGCCGACGCCGACGCCTTCGACGCATTGCTCGATCGACTTTGCACGACTTTTTGCCAGGAACGACATTTTTCGCCCCCGCTGTTCTTCCATCCATTTGCATCAGATTGTATCCTGGACTCGCTTACATCACAAGATATCTGATTATAGGTCTTCGCTCCTCTCGAGGATATACGGGAGAGCAGCCTCTGGAAAGGTCTGGCGGAAGTTCTCTTCATAGGCACGAGTAGTGTGACGCTCAGTCACGCACGCTTAGCTATAGCGTCAAGAGCGTAGAGATGAGTGCTCGTGAGTGCAGCACCTCAAGCAGGAGCATTGACAGCAGCAGCAGCTTCCCTTCCAAGTCACGCGTCTCCTCGCTCAAGCTAACCCAGCTTCCCCCCCCTCCCTCCTCCGCAGTCGACGATCTCTCGTCAGGTTCGTCGGACTATGCAGCAAATAGCTGGGTGACGTGGTTCTTGAGCACAAAGGGCAACGAGTACTTTTGCGAAGTGGATGAAGAGTATATTCTGGATAGGTTCAATTTGACGGGACTGAATGCCGAGGTGCAAAACTACCCTCAGGCTTTGGACCTGATCACTGATGCGCTTGGTGAGTTGTGAAGCTGGAAGCTGCAGGCTGTTGAATTGCTGGAAGGTGCAAGACTTTTAAAGCGGCTTGACAGGCCACATTGATATGCTAGACGTGGGCTGCTAGACAAGTCCTGGTCGCCGCCGGGTTTGCGCGCGTGTCATGCTGGCTCACTCCTCGATCCCGATGCACCCAGAGGAGGACTTGGAAGACGAGGCGCGTGATCATGTCGAGAATCAGGCAAGATTACTGTACGGTTTAGTGCACGCGCGATTCATTGTGACCACGAGAGGTCTGCAAAAGATGGTGAGTGCGCGCCGCGCCTCAGAACAAGTTCCTTTCTTAGCACGCGCCTGTGGACGCCGAAGCTGACGCAGTCTATATCGGCACTTTTGCTAGGTGGACAAGTACAAGAGAGATGACTTTGGACGATGTCCGCGCGTGCTTTGCTACCAGCAAGCGCTACTGCCCGTCGGCTTGTCAGACTTGCCATTCCACAAGGCCGTCAAGTTGTTTTGTCCACGATGCGAGGATATCTACTCGCCCAAAAGCAGCCGACATGGGACAATCGATGGGGCATTCTTTGGCAGTACTTTTCCACACATGTTTGTGAGTCGAGCACTTGGGACGCAGTTGGCAAGTTGCGACTTGTATGCGCGCCATTTGCTGAGCAGTGTCTCTTTGATTCCCCGATAAACATACGTCGTTCCACGCAGTTCATGGCGTATCCTCACTTGCTCCCATCAAAGTCACCCTCTGCGCCGTCTCCTTTCTTGATCAATGCGCGCGATCGAGACGGGTACGGAAGGGAGGGGTCATTGGGTCCCGGTGGTGGATTGACGCCCGATGGAGGTGTCACAAGCGGAGCAGTCGGTTCGACGCCCGGTCCTACGGGCGCTTCTGGAGTCAGCACATCCAACGCAGCTTCCAAAGTGGAGCGCTACAGGCCGCGAATTTTCGGCTTTCCTACTCACGAGACTGCCAAGTTGCACAGGTGGCAGGAGGCGGTTAGGGATTTGCAGATTGAGAGGTTGGAAAGATCAGAGAATAGGCAAGCTTTGTTGAATGCTCAGGCTCATCACAGTAGGACCGCACCTACGGGAGCCAACCCTCCCACCACTACAGCATCCGGACATTTTGAGAATCTCGACTGATCAGGTGGTCGTCTGCTGGTCATGCGTCGGCAGCGCTTTGATGCAGTTCAACTCTTCTCCCCAGTCCAGCTTATAAGCTGAAAAGTCTAGACCTAGTATTCGACTCTTTAGCTTGGCGACAAATGCGCAATCTCATGTAGATTTCGCACCCAATGCGAGCGAACACCACATCACTGCTTTGATCGGCGTCGCCATCAAGAATGTGCTCAGTATGTGCACCTGCTACTTTTGCGCTCAGCAATTCACAAGAGGCGGTCAAAGTCCTGTGCATGTCTGACGGCCCCGACACTCCTGGCTCACACAAAAGCTGCAATCGTTTGAATTGATTTTGAAACGAATTTTATTTTCCTCCCGCGTCGAGCCCCCATCATTCGCGCGTCTGGAATACTATTGATACAAGGTGACAGTTGCGACCGAGCAGGCTTTGTTTGCGATCTTATTGACCCATTTGAGCTTTGAGAGCTAGCACGCCGGCTCTCTGATCCTCTGGAAGAGCATTGATCTGTTCGGGCGTGAGTTGGAGGACTTGCAAAAGTAGCGCCTGTAACAAGGAGCGATTAAGAAGTAGGCAAAGGGAAAGGGGGGCGCCATGTTTGAGTGAGCGAATCGATACCTTGGAGACCGGAAGCTTGCACGCAAGCAGACTAATAAAGAGAGAGGAAGACACACCTTTTGATCCTCTGGCAAATCCGCGTTGCCGAGGCCTTGTGATGCAGTGGCAGCTGGTTGACTAGGGACTGGCACAGGGGCCTGAGCAGGCGCGCCGTACCCACCGTAGCCAGGTTGAGGTGCTTGAGGTGCGCTTGCTCCGTAAGCGGCCGTAGGTACTGGTGGCTGGGCGGTTGCAGGTGCTCCGTAAGTCGGCACGCCTGCTTGACCCCCTGCTTGAGCGGTAATGATCCTCTACGACATGAGAGAGCGAGCGTGTGTTCTGTCAGCATCGAGATAAATTTTGCGAGAGGGAATAGCCGACTCACTTGAAGGACTGCGGGGTCTACAACGTTCATCATCAGCATGGCTTGAAATACTGCATAGCTGATCTGAGGATTGCTCGCCAACAAACTTCGCGCTTGGTCAGGCGAGTTGTTCACGAGCGCCTAATGATGCGAACAAAGATTGAGCGCGCCAAAGTGCGTGTCAGCAAAAGATTGATACCACCGCTTTGCGAGCGGAAGAAGAGAGCACGATGCACCACACACCTTGAGGTGTCCAATGATCTCTAGCAATTGACCCGGCGGAAGGGCGGCCAGTGTTTGCGAAATGGCATCGGTAGGATCCGCACCTGGCGGTAGCGCCTGACCCTGGGGCAAATTAGGCGGAGCAGCCTGCCCAATTGGCCCAGCAGGTTGTTGTGCGCCTCCCCAGCCCTGAGCAGGTGCACCTCTAGGCGGTGGCCCTCCCGTGTTGCCGACCCTGCCTCTCTCGACCGAGTTTGGCATTCTCTCCTTTCTGCTGCTTCCAGGAGGTAACTCGTTCGCTTCCATATGTCCCATGGAAGTAGTCTTGCCTTCGAAGAGAGGATCCACGTCGGCGTAGTCTATTCTTAATGTTCGTCCGCCTACATCCACGTCGTGAAGGTTGCGAACAGCAGAGGCAGCAGTCTCGACATCTTCGAACTCGCAGAACCCATAGCCCTTTGGTTTGCCTGTGTCCCTGTCAAACACTAATCTGCAATGAAAAGTCCGCAGAGTCAAAAGAAGTTTGTGTGCTTTAGATAGGGCCACAGAAGCGTGTATGTGCGCGGAGACTCACCGAAATCCAATCACTTTGCCAACCTCTTGAAACACCCCGATGAGCTGCTCCTCTGACATATCATAGGGGATGTTTCCCACTGCAAGACGGTGCATCGGAGTTGAAGAGTGGTATGGCAAAACGTGTGATCGGTCACGAAAGATCGAGGCGGAAGTAGCAGAGCCTGGTCAGCAATGCACGCAATCAAGAGCAAAAGATCTAATTCCAAATGCAATCCCACGTTCTAGCCCGCGCAATATACTCTCAAAAAGATGTGGCAGAGCCACGCTTGCAGTAAAATCCCGTGTCTTCATCAACACCCGATAGGCACCCGTCACGAGAAGTCGACGTCCAGCAAAGATGGCGAGCCGATACTAACCGAAGATGACGCGAGAGCCGCGTCCCGGTGCCGCCATGTTGAGTGCAAGGGAAGGGAGGCAGGTAGCAGCTCGGAGACGGGTCCGGTGTATATATGCAGGCGCTTAGAGTGTCCAGCAGGTCTCTGCAAGGGCCTGGCGGCTGTCTGGACGTCCCTGTCGGGCGAAGTGGACGGCTTTGGTGGTGTGCAGCAGACAAGGAGCAGTTTTCAGTGAACAGGAGCTAAGTGGCTAAAGCGTTCAAGAGTGAGATCGACGTGGATCCCTCACCCAATGATCGAACCAGGACGGAGGAGCGAGCGTCTTGAGTGAGCCAGTGAATGCGTAGTATGCTAGACAGGGTGAGCCGTGGAGAGTCTCGGAGGTTGTGGTGAATGAATGCATGCTGATGCTCGGATGCGAATTCACATTTCCATTCGGCCAAGATCGATCTTGAAGTGCGCATTCAAGGTTGCATCGCCTGGGACCCGCGAATAAGTCACGAGCTTAATCAATCGCTCGCAAGACCACGCCGCGTGAATTTTCTCGCGCGAAAGACATGTCGAGCCGAGGCAGCGACGCCACGCCCGCTTGCGGCTCACCAAACCTTGGTATACCGGCTCTCCATTCCCTGTTTTCACCATTCACCACGCACCACTCGTCACTCAACCTCTCCCATCGCAACACACGGACAAGCTCAGGTCCACTTCGCGATTTTTTTGCTGTTCTCTTCGTCCAAGCGTCCTTGCACGCTCGTACCACGACTCGCCTTGACAGCCTCTCCAACCCTTGCCCGCTACAGACCTTGCGCTGCGCTCTTCTGCGCATTTGTCGACCTCAAGCTGAAATCCGCGCTGGTCGATCTGCCTCATCTTCGGAAGCTGATTGACTGTTCAGCAAAACCGCACAGATCATGTTCCGGGCCACCTCTGCTCTGTTTTCGAAAGCTTCCAGGTTACCTTTGACCTCGAAGAAGGCTAACAAGGATTTCTACAAGGGTGCGTAATTGAGACCAGACCCGAGCTCGTGCGCGAGTGTAGAGATATGCACAGACTGCTACGTCAGGGGCTACCCTCTTGGTTGGTACGTCGCGAGCTGATATCATGACTTCTCCATGACGCAGGTACGGGAGCGCTGAATGTCTTGCGAAGGAAGCGGATAGCATTGGCCGACCGCAAAGGTCAACAGCTGGATAACAAGACGTGGACCTTGATGACGCACAGATTAGACGAGCTGCGCGTTCCAGCGTACATTGTTCCACCTGGTCTGAACGATCCAGACGTGAGTGGCTGATCGCCTCAGAGCTCTATGCACTTCGACGAGAGCCGCAGACCATGCGCTGGAACTAGACATTTCTCGCGTGCAGTGGACTTGCATGCTTACGCATTCCTTGGCTGTCATTCATATCCTACACAGAACCTCAGACCTTATGTGTACAGAGGTTCTGAAGAGGCCGGCGGTACACCTGTCAACCCAAAACCCGGCTATCCTGATGGCCCACGCATGACATCGACAGGGTTCGATGCGGCGTACTACAGAAAAGTTTCGGGGGGCGTGTACCAAAGGAGGGCGGTCAAGGATGGAGTGGCGATTGAAGAAAAGTGAGACTCATCTAAATCGAGACAATCTACCTTTGACCACTGGCGTGAAAGCTATGGTGCAGCTTCATTCATCGGCTTCCAGGCCGAGAGTAGCAATTTAGCGCTGACCTCGCGGCATTGTCGAGACTTGACTGGACGCTTGGGGCTCCAGCAGGATCACCGTCACAACGGGCGAGGATCGGGGGCAGTGCGGCACCATATCCATGCCAAAGCCCCCCTGTGCTCTTCGCGGACGACACAGCACGCTTCCGCCTCGTGTGGCCGAGGCATCGCGATTGTGTGCGGCTTGTGTTTTGGCTGCAACGTGTTCACCTCAGGGCGACTGTCTTGATCACTCACCGCCGAAGTCCTGATTCCAAAAGGCGATACCAACGATACACGACTATGGCAAGTATTTCTGAAAGCTGGTTGAACCGTTCAAGGTCATAAAGTCAGCTAGGCTATTAACGACTCCTGCAAAAGGAGGCACGCATCAGAGTTGATGAGGCGTGGATCAGCATTCTTTTTCTTGATTTGCTTGGTTCGCAGCTGATCGTACCGAGCACGCGCTGCTCTCTCTCAGCTCAGAGTGACATGAGCCACGGAGCAGACCCTGTGCTCCGAATTTCTGTGAGCTCAAAATGGGCTCATCAGTCGCGAGTATTGACGGATGAGCGAACCGTGAATGATAGAATTGCATCGATCCGCACGAACGAGCGCAGAGTCGTGAATATACTTTTTGCACGCGTGCATTCAATTTCCAGACTGTGACTGGCGATATTTGATTCCTTATGCAGCAGGCTTTAGGCTTGATCGTCCAGACCACACCCCATCATTGACAAACAGGCAAGCAACTAACATCGGCATACTTTTTACTTACCGACCTCTTACTTGACGACCTATCAACGATACGAATCGGCGTCGAGCGATTCAGCTACCGCTACGCGTGCACTTCACTCCGTCTCAAAACCCATCTCCGGCTGGGCTCACTTGACGTGAATGGCGCTCGCACGTCCCAGTCTAGCTGGTGCGAGCTCCTGGTGATCTTCGAGATCATATCCACCTTTCTTTGCCGGAATGCTACACAGCTGAATGACAAGTGATAAGGCCATGAAGGAGCAGAAAATGGCCGTCGGAGAGGTCAAAGGAGGAGGGGAGGCGGCAGGTGCTTCCCAAGCTCCTCCTCAGCAGCAGCAGCAGCAGCAGCAGCAGCAGCAGCAGAGAACCAGTCAGAGCCGTGAGTGGATTGGGATCAGCTTTGTCGATCATGGAGAGTAGCAACAAGCTCCAGGGATTTGACAAAGCTCACTTGGACGTCCTCCCTTGATGGCTATGGCTTCATCGTAGGCCTGGATCGTCTCGTAGGTCTGCTCGCTGCTGGCTCCAATCCGACAGTCAGGAACATTGCAGCTCAGCAATTAGGTCAAATTTGTGCTCTACGCATGCATGGTGGAGGAGGCTCCAATCAAGCAGGCTCGTCCTCCTCCTCTTCAGCCGCCACTCGAGCAGAAGTCATAGCGTCCTCATCTGCCAGCTCTTCGAGACTTGACTCCGCTCGCAATCTCTCGAGAACTGGCCCGAAGGCGGATTGGAACGAAGCTCTTTCTCTGCTGGCTAGAATCTTACCTTCTCTGAGAAGCAATGCGTGGGACACTAGGATTGCGGCCGCTTCAGCTGTAGAGCTTGTATGCGCTGCTGCGGGAACATGGGACCCTTACTTTGGTACGACCGAGACCGAGGAGAAGCAGAAGGCGCCCAAGGAAGAGGGTGTCGTGACGACTCAGCCCAGCGACAGAATGTCCTTTGGAACATTTGCCATTGCGAATGTACTTTCTACGGGTAAGAAGCTTCTCTCATCAACCGGCACGGAATACGACGTCGGCTCGCATCTAAGCGTGGAAGAGCGCCTTGCTAATGCTAAAAAGGACATGGAACGATTGGGACTGATCGGCATGGCAGGCGAAGAGATGGACATCGGAGTCGACGTAGAGAGTGAATTGAAGGGCGCGTCAGATACCGCTGCTGTCAAGGTGGGAGCTTCGAGCAGCGTTGCAGAGTCTGCTGTCAAACATGAAGAATCAGCATCTCAATCACCTGCTGCGCCACCCGAAATTGATATGAGCAAGTTGTCCGCTCGTGAACGGAACCAGCTCAAGAGGAAAAGAAAATTGGGCATTGCGGACTCGACTCCTTCATCTTTGGAGCACTCGTCGTCGGACAACAAGTGATTACAGTTGCCATGTTACCAGGCTCGTGGTCTCGAACGCTGACCATCCTTTCTCACGCAGGAAACGGATCCTGGAGACGTCGAGCGGTAGTGCTTCCCCAAGGGTTGCTCCGGGACCCGGCGCGCCCCAATCCTCGACTGTCCCAGCTGGAGGCACGTCCAGCACCTCTCAAGCCTCACGGCCAACCTCGCTGACTTCGCCGGACGGCGAGTGGCCTTTCAAGGTTCTACATTCGCTCTTGCAGGGTGATCTCTTTGCGGCAAAGTGGGAAGTGAGACACGGAGCAGCCCTTGGATTAAGGTCTCTGTATGCCACTCAAGGATCCGGCGGAGGTATGTGCCTATACAACAGCTCGCAGTCCAATGTCGTCGGTCACGAAGATTGGAGCAACGATGCTGCGCTGAGGCTTGCTTGCGTGCTAGCGCTTGACAGACTAGCGGACTTTGTCTTTGATCATGTGGTCACGCCTGTGAGGGAAACGGCTGCGCAAGCCCTCGCGGCACTTCTAAGGCATATATCCAAGGAGGGAGTAGAGGCTGTACAGAGAGTCCTCGTCGATATGGTCAAGCAAGACTGGGTGGTGCCTGCATCCGACCCGAAATTTGACGTTGCACGGCAAGGGTCGAGGAGACTGGACGCTGGTAGACGGTACAAGGGATACGCCTGGGAAGCTAGACACTCTGGTCTGCTAGGCATTCGATGGCTCGTCAGTGTTCGTACTGACTTGCTTGAAGCCGGACAATCTGCGAATGACAATGTCAAAAAGGAGAACGCCCAAGGTCTCACTGAGCATCATGGCTCTCCTAGCGATCTGTTGAAGCGCAGCGTTCAGGTTGCTGTTGCTTGGTGAGTGGCGTCCTCATGCTACGAGGAGAAATCACTCCACAAGGCAAGACAGCTGAGTTCTGTTCCTTGCATCTTGCGTCCAGCTTGCGAGACGAGGATGATGATGTTCGCCACGTTGCCGCTCAAGCGCTCCTTCCAGTTGCGGAACAGATTGTGAAGAGTATGCCGATGGAGCTCGATGTTGTCTTGTCAGAATTGTGGGCCTGCCTCGGCGATCTCAAGGACGACCTCTCTAGCAGCGCAGCCGGAGTCATGGATTTGCTCTGTGAGTGTGAGCGGATGCAGACGCGCTGACCGACTCGTCAAGAAGCCACACTGAGCAAAGTCTGCCTGCTTCTCGGTAGCCAAATTGGTATCACAACCAGCAGTCATTGAGCGGATGGATGCTAGCGGCGCGGATTCATTGTCTTTGCTTGTGCCTAGCCTTTTCCCATCCTTCCGACACACAATCTCATCAGTTCGGCAAGCTGTCTTGAACGTGTTGAGCGCACTTTTGGACAGTTCGTCCGCCTCGACGCACCTCATCGATGACAAGCTACTTCGCTTGCTCTTTCAGAATCTTATAGTCGAGGAGAAGTCAACCATTCGGGCTCTGTCCGCCACCATGTGGGAGAAGGTCTTGGTCGCTTCTCTGAAGAGTGTGAAAGGCGGCGCATCTGGGACGCTGGCCGACCATCTCGCCCCGCATTTGGACACCCTATTCCAAATTTTGATGACACCCATCGGCATGCCTTTCAACCTGTCTCTCTTCTACCGTGCCTCGGGCCGATCAACGCAGGGTCATGATGTAGACAAGCATGCATTGGCACAGGACCTTAGCCTGGTCGGAGTCGATGTCGTTATCCGGAGCAGGTTAGGCGCTGCGAAGGCTCTAGGTGGTGTATTTGCATCTTGGAACGAAGATGACGCCGTGAGTATAGCTTGGTATCTGTGTCATGCAGTATTACTGACGGTTGGCTACGGCGAATCTTTTGTCGCCACAGGATGCGTTTGGTCGGCACCTGAAGCAGTATGTTGTATCTACAAGCGCTCTGCAACGGTGCCTCGCGTATGCCGTGGTTCAAGAATGGGCAGTCTTTGCCAAGTCGAGGAACGTGTTCGACATATTGCGCTCAGGTAGTGTAGCACAAGACATCTCCTCCATTCTGTTGGACCAAGTCGCTGCTCCGCCGCCTCCGACTTACGGCGAGATGTCCGTAATGTTGCAGCGCATCCAATTGGAGTGCCAAGGACTCTTCAACACGGCTGCGAGAGAGGTCAAGGTTCCAAAAGCGTCTGTTCCAGAGCTTCCGAGCACTGTCGATCCACTAGGTACCAACGCGAAGGCGTTTACTGTCGAACTTGCCAGATATGTTGTCAGTACGGGCCTGCAAGAGCTCATCGAGAGCGGCGCGGCCTCATCAAAAGCGAAAAAAGTCGCGCTAGAGGGTCTCCAAGAAAGAGTGCGAAAACTTGTAACTTCGCTGGGCAGATATCAAGCTACCAAAGAGCAGCAGGATTGTCAGGTCTTTGCTGGGTGCGCGACAGCTCTGGTTGCTCTTGAGACTGTTCCTGCGAAACTCAATCCGCTCATCAAGAGCTTGATGAATGCGGTCAAGGTGAGTGGATGATGATGGCCAGCGAACGAACTTATGCTCAAAGACAACATCTTTCCATTTGACAGTTCGAGGAGAACATCGACCTACAGATGCGAGCTGCGCGAGGTGTAGCCAGCCTGGTCGCTTTATGCAGCAGACCAGACGCTCGTGCAAATCCTTCCGACAAAATCATCAAGAATTTGTGTGCTTTCGTCTGCCAGGACATCTCAAGGACCCCTATCTTCACAGCCGTCAAAGCGGATCACCACGGCGTGCTCTTCCTGCGCGAGCAATCCTCGGTGCCGAGCGGTGCGCATGCTGCTGCGAAAACGGAGCAGCCCGACAAGACGGAAGAACAAAGGCAAGGCGAGCTGATTCGGAGAGGTGCTGAGGCTGCTTTAGGTGAAGTCGCAGAGGTCTTTGGGAAGGAAGCCTTCACCCAGATCCCAACATTGTGGGACAACGCTTCGGGCGGACTAGCTTCAGCGCCTGCCATCGATGACGATTTGGATGACGCGAAAGGACAGGCAATCCTCGATTCTTGCACGCTGATCGGCGTACTGGTGCCACGACTGCACACGGGCCTTCAAGGCAAGGCTTTGGAGGTTCTCTCGCCGCTTACGCAGGGGCTGCGCAGTCGATACACGGCTATTCGCGGCGCTGCCGCACGCACGTTGAGCGTCCTTGCCGACAACTTGACGGAAAGGACATTGCTGCACATTGTCGAGCAAGTTCTACCTCTGCTCGGGGATGCCACACATGCTGCCACACGCCAAGGTGCCGTCGAGACCTTGGCACACGTCATCAAGGTCCTGGATGTCAAGATCCTGCCATACGTGATCCTGCTCGTTGTACCGGTCTTGGGACGCATGAGCGACGTGGACGAGCAGGTCAGGCTGACAGCGACCAGTTCGTTTGCCTCTCTCATCAAGATGGTCCCTCTCGAGGCTGGTCTTCCCGACCCACCGGGCTTCTCCAAGGAGATCTTGCTTCGCCGTGAGCAGGAAAGAACCTTCTTGGCTCAGCTTCTCGACGGCTCCAGGGTGGAGCCTTACGAGCTGCCCGTCAAGATCAATGCTGACCTCAGGTCTTATCAGCGGGACGGAGTCAGCTGGATGGCCTTCTTGTCCAAGTTTCAGCTCCATGGCATTCTTTGCGATGATATGGGCCTCGGCAAAACACTGCAGTCCATATGCATTGTATCAGCTCGCCATCATGAACGAGCTCTACGATTTGCGGCAGGTCAGCCTCCAGACGCCACGCCGTTGCCTTCACTCATCGTGTGCCCGCCCACCTTGGTGGGTCATTGGCACCACGAGGTGCAGAAGTACGCCAACAACTTGCGGCCTGTTATGTATGTAGGACAACCACAGGATCGTCGCTCGCTGCAAGCTCGGATACGACAGTTTGAGGTTGTAATCACGTCATACGACGTCGTTCGCAACGATGTCGACTTCTTGTCGAGCATCGATTGGCTTTACTGCATCCTCGACGAGGGCCACATCATCAAGAACGCCAAGACGAAGACGACGCAGGCGGTCAAAAAGGTTCGGGCTCAGCATCGATTGCTTTTGTCCGGCACGCCTATTCAGAACAATGTCCTTGAATTGTGGAGTCTCTTTGACTTCCTCATGCCTGGTTTCCTGGGCACCGAGCAGAGCTTTCAAGTGCGATACGCCAAACCTATTGGCGCTGCGAGAGAAGGGAAGGTTTCAAGTCGCGAACAAGAAGCTGCTACGCTTGCACTTGAAGCGCTCCATAAGCAAGTGCTGCCATTCCTCCTTCGACGCCTCAAAGAGGATGTTTTGGACGACTTGCCGCCGAAGATTATCCAGGATATCGAATGTGAGCTCGGACTTGTTCAGAGGAAGTTGTACGACGACTATCAGCGATCCGCGAACAGGCAGGAGCTCGAAGATGCATTGAGCTCCGAGCAGAAAGGTTCGGAGAGTGACAGCAAGCAACAGCACGTCTTTCAGGAACTGCAGTATTTGCGCAAACTTGTCAACCATCCCACACTCGTGTTCGATCAATCCCGCGCCAAACATCGCGAAATCGAGAGAGAAATAGTCGCGGCGGGAGGATCGCTTCAGGACATCAGCCACGCGCCCAAGCTACTTGCTCTTCAGCAGTTGCTCAATGACTGCGGGATTGGCGTCAAGGTGAAGACTGAGGCGTCAGACACGTTTGCGGAAGGCGCTGTGGCTCAACACCGAGTGCTCATCTTCTGTCAGCTGAAGCAGATGCTAGATATTGTGGAGCAGCAATTGTTCCAAGTCCACATGCCGGATGTTTCCTACATGCGTTTGGACGGAAGTGTCAGTGCAGACAAGCGCCATGGCATCGTGCAAACCTTCAATTCGGATCCGAGCATCGATGTTCTGCTTTTGACCACATCGGTGGGCGGCTTGGGCCTTACCCTCACCGGCGCTGACACAGTCATCTTCGTGGAGCACGACTGGAATCCTATGCGAGATTTACAGGCTATGGACCGCGCGCATCGTCTTGGTCAAAAGAAGGTCGTCAATGTATACCGTCTCATCACCAGAGACACGCTCGAAGCTAAGATCATGGGGTGAGTACGTCAAAGCGATGACTCGAAAGGACCCCGGCTAACGGCATTCTCCTCCTCCGAATCTTCAGTCTGCAGCGCTTCAAATTGAACGTCGCGCACTCGGTTGTGACACAGCAAAATGCTGGCCTAGAGAGCATGGAGACAGACCAAGTTCTAGACCTGTTCGGAAGTGCGGATGAGGCGCAGCCGAACGGTTCTGGCACTGGTAAAGCATCAAGTAAAGGAATCAGTCAGCAAGCGTTGCTTGCTGCCATCGAAAATGCGCCCGATACAGGCGACGACTACCAGTCGTCTAGCACTTGGACAATCTAAAACACCGTATCACACATCGCTAAACTCAGCCGGCGCATCAACAATTGATTTGAAATTGTGCGATTGCTTGCCACCAATGAGTTCCAATGTCATATCGAGCATTGCAGATCTTTGAGCAGGTTGTTCCCTAGAAATGACCCTCCACGTTGGATGGGGCGACGCCACAAGGCAGCCAATTCAGATCTCGAACCTCTCGAGCATCGAAGCTATGCCGTTCCAGTTCTGTCCGTGCTTGTCTGAGGTTGAGCACGTTCATGAGTGATATCGAGTCAACTTCGAGGAGGCTAGGAGGCGCAGCATTCCATCCTCGAAGGAGCTTTTTGAGCTCAAGGGGGAGCGCACTTGGAAAGATGACGACATGGGCAGGTGTTTGGGACGCTTTACCACTGGACTCGGTCAAAGGGGTCGAATTTGAAGATGCTAGAGTTTCTGCAGCTCTCAATGCCAGATCGATGTCTTGACGCGAGCTCCGAGCTTCTTGACCAATGAGTACGTACGTCTCTATCGACGAGTGCACAATTTGTACAGTCTTCGGATCCATGTCGTGCGCGCTTGCTGACTTTAGAGCATAGGTCTGGTCCAGACGAGGGGTGACCTTTGCATCCCTTACATCGTAGAGGATGGCTCCCTTTGCCGTGTACGAATCGGCGGATGCCACAGCATGCAAAGCCGATTGAGCATACGGTACTTCCTGGTCAAAGTAAGCCCAGAAAGTAGCATCTTCGGATCCTTCAATGTACTCCGCCACGTCGATTTCTGCCTCGTCGTGGCTGAACAAGCCAGAAAAGAGCGGGGCCACAAGAGCTCGCGTCGATTCGCGCTCGTTCTCTGTGGTGCCGAGCCCGTGCCAGAGGAAAGGAGATCCCACCACACTAGCAATGTAGCCAAAAGCTGAGCACAAACTCGAAGTTTCCTGATGCAGTGTGGTCCAGCGCAGGAACGAGCAAAAACCGATTTTGGGTCAACAAATGCTGATTGAGTTGGTGAAAATTTTGGAAAAACACTCACCAAGTCCACCTGCTCAATTAGAGTAGCGCCGTTCGGAAGAACTCTGATCTCGTACAAGATGGTGCTTTGTTCATCCCACCTGGCTCTACTTCCAAATCTCGAGACAATTCCCTGTGGAAACGCATCGATCAAACCCTTGGGTTCATCGCCTACTCTAACCTCCACAACACTAGTGTTGAAGCGTTTGGCCAGGTCCTGAATCCTAGCCGTTTCCGCCGGACCCCTATTGGTAGCCGAGGAGGCTCTTCCTGTACGAATGAACAGCTCAGTGCGGACCAAAGAAGCTTCTCTTCGACGATGTATCACTGCCAGCGTCTCTCCTTCGTACAGGATGTGCTGCTCCGCTTCCGGAATGGTCACTGTGGATCCGGTAGGAAGCACAGAGATGACCTCGACGCTGAGAGTGTTCCGAACATCTTCGAGCTGTTTCAAATAAGCGCTGCGAGCTTGCATCAGCCGCGCGTGCTCGGACGCAAAGGCCTTGGCGTCGAATGGGGCGGGAGAGATGGGCAAGAGATCCAATTTGACGAGATCTTGGCTGGTGGGCGTAGCCACGACGGGCGAGACGGGCGAAAAGCCGACAGTCCCTGACCGATCATTGACAAATGCGCCAAGTTGAGCAGCCTGCGTCTCCAACTTTTTGACGCTATCCGATCTGGTTGGCGCAGCAGATGCGTCTCTGGGCGCGGCAAGCTGATTCTGGGGCGGCACAGCTGCGTACATAGTCTGCGGTCTGTTCGCGCTCGAGATCTTCCTCGTTCGGACTGCCGATTGTTGAACAGAGCTTGATTGGCCGTCCCATCTCGCAGCCGCCTCAGCTACGCTTCCTTCCGGCTGTTCGATCAAATCCGGCAAGGGCGATGATCCTCCGTACACGCTTGATGGCCGACTAAGAGTGCGTCTTCGCGGCCGAGGTACTGCGCCGCTCCCTGCGCTGCTGGAAGAGCTAGACAGGGGCGGTACAGAGCCAGATGCAGCGCTTGCAATCGCGCTTGTAGGCGCATTGGCATCCTCTGATGAAACTTGCGTAGGTTGACCCCATGCGGCAATGGAATCCCTGACGCTCGCAAATTGAGCGTTCGAGTCTACTGTCTCAAATGCAGACTCTGCAGGAGGCCTTGCGTGCGCAAATGTAGCAGAGACGGGTGTTGGTGCTGATGGGCGAGGTGGCAAGTTCTGAATTGGGGTCTGATGCGAGCTCGTTTCTTCAAGTAGCGAGGGGGCTTTGGCCGGCACCGTCGACGTAGCCCAGGGATTGACAATCTCCTGGCTCTGCACCTTCACCTTTGACTGCAGTTCTCGCTGCAGAATTTCTCTCGCTCCAGCAACGATGAGACCATGTTCCACGCTGTGCATTCTTTCCTGAAGTTCCTGCAAGCTCTCTCCTTTGCGCATGGGTATTTCCTGCACAATCACGGGTGCACCCCTATCCACCTCCGCAATGACTTCGTGCACCATGATGCCAGTCTTGTCCACCTTCCCCTCCTTGAAAGCTTCGTAAGCTCTCTCAATGGCCCCTGCTCCGTCGAACGCACCGGGTAAAGCCGGATGAAGGTTGATGATGGGCACACCCCGAGCAGGTGCCCATGCAGGAGCTATGCCCGGCGCTTCGCTCGTCTCGTGTCCAAAAGCTCTCAGGAAGGTAGGAGAGACGATGTGCATGAAGCCAGCTAAGACGATGAGATCGGGAGCGAGCCCTTCGTGAGCGTTCATGACCTTCAATGCCAGATCCTCATCGTACTCTTCCCTCGTCGCTCCCGGATTCTTGTTCTGATACGTCTTGAGCGCACTGACGAGCGTCGGAATGGGCGGATTGGCACCCGCAGCTCTTTGCAATCCATACGCAGCCTTGCGGTTCGAAACGACCAGTGAAATTTGAGCGTTTGGCAACTCATCCCGATCGAGCAGGGTAGCGTCAATCAGAGCTTGCAGATTGCTTCCGTTACCGGAGATCAACACGCAGATTCTCTTGCCACTTGTCGATCTCTGCTTGCCAGCTTCCGGAAGACCCGCCCGAATGCCTTCTTCGACCTCTCGCACGCTCATCCGACCTGTAGAGTCTGCGCTCGCACGGTCCGAAGGTTTGATAGCTTGAAAAGTATCCTGCTCGCTTCCCAATAAGCGCGAGATCGTCGGATCATCATCCTGCGGTGGTGGCGCAAGGATAGATGATGTCGTGCCCTGATCTCCAGTCTGTGTATGCGACGCACGGATAGACTCCCCAACTGGCGTGGACACCGCGTCACTTGCCGCACCTTGCAAGATAGTGCTGTCCGCAGCCGCAGCTTGTGTCGATGGCTGTTTCCTAGCGCTCTTCTTTGGTCCCTTTGCTCTACCCGCGGCCAGATGTGTGAGTTTTTGCTCCGAAGTCTCTTTTTGCGCGGCCAGTTGCTCAGCCGGGTCCGGATCGACTGGCGAGCGAGGTTTGAAGGGGCTGACAGCGCCGCCCATTCCGGGAAGCCTGATGGGCGCAATATTGACTCGTTCCGGGCTCGGGTCTCGTACAGGAAGCGGATGTATGCGCGTGGGGCTGGGGCTCCTACCGGCCGCCGCACCCTCTGTCGCACTGCGAGGGGCTCCAAGGCCAGGCAGCATCTGCGCGCCCTTTCCAGGTGTCCACGCTTTCTGGCTCGATGTCTGAGAAGCTTCATCAGCTTTGACAGCTGGCACTGTCCATTTCCTCGTCTGCGTTGGGACGGTGGTGTTGGTTTGGCTCGTCGGTGGCTGCATGGGCACCGGCAAGCTGCTGGCCGACGCGGTCTTGACAGGTGGAGCCCACTTTTTAACACCGCTCCTCTGTGGAAGATCGCCAACCAGACTGGGTGCAGCATCCGAATCGTTCGAGCCCGCTTCCCTCTCTTGAGCTTCTCGAAGGCGCTGCTGCACCATCGACCGACCTCTCAATCGTGTGATGCTAGCGCTTGGAGGCTTCTCCGCGCTCGACGGTGTCTGCGGAGAAAAGGCGGGCGAAACCTTTTGCGTGGTGTTAAGGTTGGGACTTGCGATGGCTGAAGGGGATGGTGATTTGGGCTGGGCTAGCGCGGGCGTCTGAACTTTGGGTTGCGAGTGTCGCTCGGGAGACGCGGGACGCAGAGGCGTCTGCCAAGAGCGCGTTGGAGAAATGGCGGTCCTGGTCGGGGACGGTGATCGAAGCGTGTTGGATGTGGTCGAAGTGCTCGACCCACCGCCAAGCACAGCGCCAGAAGCTCGTAGCGGAGCGTCCCAAGATCGTTTGCGCTCGGGAGAAGCTGGCCTAAGCGGCTCGGACTTGAGTATGCTGGGCGATTGGGTGCGAATAGTGGTGCTGCTGGTCGTCGAAGCCCGTGCAGGTTCTGGCAATTCGGGTCGAGCGGAGGCCATGGCCGATGGACGCGTTGGGCTGGTCTGCCTTCTTTCCAATTGCGTTTTACCAACCACATCACCAGCGCTTTGACCTTCCCTGTTCGCCAATTCCCTTTTGCGCGCTTCCATCATTCCCGCCATGCCTCCAGCAGGTCCGACGACCATTCCATGCAGAGCCCTCTTTTGTTGAACTTCGCTTGCGCTCGTAGCACCTTGATACTCGGGAGGTGCGCTCCTTCCATCGCCTGCCAACTTGCCCAACCTGGGACCTGCTGCTTTGCCTCCGATGAAGGAAGCAAGAGATGTGGGGCCTGCAGCGTTGGCTGAAGCGTGACCTGTCGGGCCCGCAGCTCCCCCATAGCGGGCCAAGAGACCAGCGCTAGATCGATTCGCACCCGCACCCGCACCCGCATCCGCACCCGCACCCGCACCCGCACCCGCATCCATGCTCGAAGCTGCGAATGTTGAGGACGGCAGACCATCTGTACGGTTGGCAATACCGCTTCCCATCGCAGCTCCTCCGCTCAATCTGCTACGCCTCTTGGCCCTATCCGCTCTGCTCCGAGCCACCTCCTCTTCAAGCTCTTGCTGCGTTTGCGTCCCGCTACCTCCCGTCTTGTGAGGACTGAGGGTCGAGTAACCGGCTGGGGATGATCGAGGAAAGTCCATGGTTGGTGTGACTTGCCACGCTTACACTTAGCGCGTCGAAGGATTGGGGACTGGTGGAATGTGAGTGTGAGTGTCACTGTGGTTGTGGTTGCAATTGTAATGCTGCTGATGCTGGACTCGACCACGAGTCTTGAATGGAGGGCTGCATGGACATGTGTACACATCAGCGGGGACACTTATGCAGTCACGAGCGTCGCCTTGCCAATCGTGAATCGTGAATTCCGCCGCCTGCGCCCCTGATTTTGACGCGTCACGTGTTGCGGTGCACGTGGCTGATCACGATCAGCCTCAAGACGCGCTTGACTCAACCCATCACTCGGACTGAAACTGTCATGTACATACCCACGCTCCGCTCTCTCCTCCTGCTGTCTAGCCCCCCGACGTTGACTTCACGGCTTGTGGCTAGACTCTGAATCTTTCACTCACCAGCACACTTGACTCGCAGACCAAATTGAACGTTTAGCGCATCTCGACTGAGACCAGACACATCATCAAAGCTGAAGCAACGCGCCTGTACATTGCTCGGTGTGACCGATAGTCACTTTATTGCCCTTTCCACTTTCAAAGGACGTGCAGTTGAAATCGGAAATCGAGCATACACTCGGTGCGTCCTGCGCCAACTACGAGCATCGCAATCGAGATGCCAGCAGCATCCTCCACATCCGCAGCATCGATAAAGTCAGGGGCAGGAGCATCCACAGCCACCACCTCGCTACCCGGCTCGCTCGAAGAGGCCAAAGAGCGCTACGAGTCGACCAAGTCCACGCTGCGCTCCGGTCTTTCCAAAAAGCGACAAATTGATCGAACATTGACGGATCTCGAATCTCAGATCTACCTCTTCGAAGGAAGTTATCTATCCAGCACAGCTTCTAGCGGTGGGAACATCATCAAGGGATTCGATGGCTATCTAAAGTTGGCACATGGTGGGAGGAGCGGGGGGACTGGAGGGGGAGGAGGATCAGGAGGCATCTCGGGATCCATGTTAGGACTCGCGCCTTCTGAAATCCCAATCGAAGACAGATTGTTTAGCACTTCATCAGCAACCTATACGCGTTCGCTGGAGCTCAAGGCTAATGAGGGCAAAAAAGCAGCGAGCCACGCAACGGCTTCATCCGCACGCAATTCTGTCGCTGGGGCAGGCGCGGACGATGCTCCGCCGCCCCCTTCCAAGAAGACGTCGGCGGCTGCCAACAAGGCTGGTAGTCCAACTCCCTCTACTACACACGACGAACCTTCACAGAGCACGAGCACGGCTACGAGCACCAAAAAGAAGAGGAAAGAAGCCCCGAATGCCTCGGCAGGAGCGAACGCGAGCGGAGAGAGCAAGAAGAAGAAGAAGAAAGAGGAAGATTGAGGGTTGGACAGCCAGGGGCCGTCGAGAGGAGAGATATGTGTGCCATATCCACTTTTCCAGATGGCCCAACGCATCTTTTAGCGCAGATTTTCTGGCCGCAGGCAGCGCAGCCTTACGGACTTAGAAAGCACTTCGACATGGACTTCGAAGTGACATCAAATGGCAATTCTATCGAGCATCACGGCATCACAGTGTCTATGAATCAAACGCGCGCTATATGCTTGTATCCGGGCAGGAGGAAGCGAGAGGGCTCCGGCCTGCGCTCATAGCTTCGGCTCGCCTCACCGGCGCAGCAATCGTGCTGCTACACCGCCACTGAATACACCAGCCCTGACCTTTTCCGAACCCTTTTCATGCAAGATCATCGGCCTGCGCTTCCAGACAACTGGGCTGACCCCTGCGCAGGGGCACTAGTACCTTTTGCTTGGAGCTCTCGAATCGACCCTGCCTGTGCTACGGGTCACAGCACGAAGCACCTTTTCGAATGCGTCCAAGTTCATCCATCAACCAGGAAAAGGGCCCGACTGCAACGCAGCACGTCAGTTTGATCCATCTCTTCTCCCAATCATGCGAAACGTCGCGTTGCCTAGCCTTGCGCATGTGCCACTGCAGCAAGTCGAACAAGCCCCGCGCTGTGCACCCTCACATCCTTGCGCAAAAAACTACGTTGACATCGGCAAATGACACATTGCGGCTAGAGAGACTATTCTGCTGCAGAGCCAGAGTTGGCATGAGTGCTTGGCCTCATATACTTGCTGCACGTCTATCACTCCCTGCGTCCTTTGGCGTCGCGTCACGCTGCACTTGCAAGCCCGGGTTCACGAGCGAGAGCGAGACTGAGGCATTACGTTGCTGCCTTGTAGCTGCCCATGATGCTTTCGGTGATCCTGTCGTTCATGCGTGCTACGTCGGCGGCGATCATCATGAAGCCAAGTCTGTACATACTAAGCATGCAGATTTGTCCGTCTGACTCTTCGGTGGTGGACGTGGGAGCGAGTAGCAAATATGTGGAAATTCGCAGCAATGATAGCATGGGAATACACCGGTGGACTGGCGACCTCCATCTCCATTCAATGGGCATGACCTCACTCAAATGGGCGCTATGATCATACACCGCTGCCTTTAGACATCTGCGACTCCTCTATTGTTCTGCTCCCGCTCTATTTCGTGCTGGTTGTCGATTGTGATTTTTGAATCCTATTGATCCGGAGGATGCGGATGCGGATGAGGGCAGTGGCGCACGAGGTTGAGCTTGACCGGCGTGCAAAATCCTATTCTTTTGCGAGCCGAGAGCTGCTGCTTCTTGCACATCGGAAGGCACTGAATGGGATCGGCTTTGTGTCTGTCCCTCGAGATTGCGCGCCGGTCTAGGAGCGCGTTTTTTGTCCATGTTGCGTTTCACTTCCGTGCTTGAGACAGCGGCACTGGCAGAGGCAGCAGATGCAGATGTAGATGCGGATGCAGAGCCACGTGTCTCTTTCGTATGCTCCTGAGTACCACCAGCAGCAGCTCCAAATATCCTGTCTCTAGCTTCCCTATACTCTTCCTCTCTCTCCTTCAACGTCTTTTTCTTTGCTGCTCCGCTCCCTCCCTCATCCTGTCTGAGCCCCAACACATTACCATATTGATCTTTTGGTCGACTGAGGATCTTGGGAGGTTGGCGCGAGACGTCTGATGTGTTCAGTGAGGGACCCAAGAGGGATGGAAGTGTGCCTCGCGAAGACAATGTGGGTGCCAGCGTGGGTAATCGAGAATTTCTTCATCACGCAACGATAAGACCAGAGTCGCGGGAGCACATGAAGCGTCAATTCAGGTGCAGGAAGAGCACAGTCAAACCTCAAGAGCGGACTCGGACTTCGACTTACGCAGCGTTCCATTCCTTCGAAGCCCACTCTGCAGCTCCACCATTGATGTCTCCTGGCCCACGTGCCTGCGCAGGTGCACTTGACCCGCCCGGTGCATTCAGGTGCGCGTCCACCTGATACGCTTGCTCATCATCCCACGCGTCAGCATACCTAGCAGGAGCAGCTGGAGCAGCAACGCTGCCAGTATTGCCTCGCAATTTGGTGGATGTTGATGTGAGGCCAGCTAATGCTGAGCCACCTCCACCCGCCAAGATTCTTATCTTCTGTTCAGAGCGTGCAGGAGAAGGCGCTGATGTTGGTGCTTGCGCGGATTGGGTGTGCTGGCCAGCAGCTTCTGCCCTAGGCTCAGCCCCAACGTCAACTTTCAGCGGCTGCACTCTACCCGTCTCTCCGCCGGACCCCGGCCCAGCAGGCAACTTTCCAGCAACAGCTCCAGCATCGACGCTTGCGCTCGCACCATCCGCATATCTCGTATGCTCATGCCGCACGTTCAGTCGAGCACCGGCTTGCGCACCTCCATCAGACCCTGATCCAGATCCAGACGCGCAATCCGAGTCTGAATCTTGCGCATCCCAATCCTCCGGCACCTCTTCGTTCGCTTTCTTCTTGGCCTTGACCAATACCGTGTGTCGCGTCATGCTTTTGCCTTGATTTCCAGGCTCGTTCGTCGATGCTTTCTCGAGGTCAAGAGGCGGATCGCAGCGAGGAAGATGAGCGAGGTGACCGAGGGATCGTGCGTGTGCTTGCGCTTGTGTTGCGGGCGCTGGGTGCTCAATGTATGGAAGCAGGATCAGACAGAGGCTCAAGATCACGTCTTCCTCCGTGTTATCTGTAAGGGTTCCTTTGCTTGGGGCTAGTGGTTAGCTTTCGAAGCGAGGCGGTGCATGCCTGTGTACCATTCAGATTGTTGTACCTTGATGTCGCTCGTCTTCGAGAAACTAGAAACTCAGATCGTCTTTGAGCACGTGACGCACTCAAACTCCACAGCCCTTCGAATCGTGAATCCAGCGTGCACGGCGCACTTTTGACTCGACTCGAGCCGAACTTCGTGCCTGCTGCAGCAGCATGATGGCTGCGTTGCGCTGCGTTGCATTCACGAATGTGAATACGAGCACGCCAACCCTCAACACGTACCAAGCACGAGAGAGGCATGCAGCTCCAGGCTCCAGCGGTCTTTATCTCCACGCATACATCATCCCACACACACCCATCGCTCGTCACTCGTCACTTCATTAAGCACTCAAACTTCGAGCATTTGATTCTTGGCAATTGCAGTAATCTCTGGATCAAAGCTTCGCGACTCACGCCTAAGCTGAAACAAAACAATCAAATCGACGATTACGAAGCTTGTGACGCGGCAAGAGATTGCCGACCGCATACATGCTCCAGCGTCACTCCGATACTAATCGGGGCAGTTTCTAGATGTGCGTGTCTTGCCCGTCCACCGTCTACTCCTGCCTATCTGTCATCATCACTTCTCTGGCTGACTAGCACAAAGGTCAACTTTGCGTCGCAGCTAGAATCAGAAAAACCAGCATCGACCCTATCGACCGGTTCAAGCACAGCAAACAAGCCAGGGACTGCCTCGACGTCATGGATATTTCAGAGCGTGCCAGCGGCTCCAACATGGCAGCAGATGGTTCGATTCACCCATCTCGCTCCGTACGTTTCGCGAGCACCAACGACTTGCATTCTCCCAATTCGCCTCCATCGAGCGCTTTATTCTCCTACGATGTTTCGGACGAGTCGGCTGACGAGGGGGATGCTCTTTCCGGCACTGGCAATCGAAAAGGAGAAGCGAGCGCAAGTGGGAAACGATTTCAATCAAGTGGAGGTGGTGGAGGGGTAACGACATTGGGATTGAAAAGTACGACTTCTTCTAAAGAGGCGCAGTACGATGCGGATAGCGATGAGCTGGGAGATGAAGATCTGGACGCTTTGAGCGTCTCTGCAGCTACGTTGAATCAAAATCCATCTTCACGAGGTGGTGCGGGATCAGGTCGGGGTCGATCAGCTGGTACCTCCCCAGCATCAGGCTTGGCATCAACATCAACATCGGAATCCAGATCCAGATCCATACCCCTCATAGATCGTATACCTCTGCCTGCTGCCTTGTCTAGACACTCGACCGATGGCATAACTGAAGGACTGGTGGAGATCAGGAATCAGCTGAGGGATATCGAGCTGCCGGACTGGCTCAGAAGAGGAGCTGGAGTCTTCGAAGCGACTGTCAATATGGCGAATTCTATCCTAGGTGCAGGAGTGGTCGGTGAGTGAAGCGTGCTGCGTCAGCTGCAGTGGTTCGGACGCGCGCTCTATGACCGGCGCACGATACTGCGATTGCGCTTCGAGCTTTTCAGGGCAAAGCAGCTGTTTGTTCCCTGACCTTCTCATCCCCTTGGACACATCGGCCTCTCATAGGTCTTCCCTACTCGCTTCGCACTTCCGGTTTCGTGGCAGGCCTCGGTCTCTTGGCAGGTCTGGCCTTATTGACAGACTGGACCATCCGTCTTATTGTCCTCAACGCCAAATTGAGCGGAAGAACGACGTATATCGATATCATGCAGCATTGCTTTGGAAATCATGGAAGAGCTGCCGTATCTCTCTTCCAATTCGCTTTTGCTTTTGGTGGAATGTGCGCTTTCTGTGTAAGTGTCGAACGTGGCAGATTCAGAACGCGAAGACATTGGACGATATTCCATGGCTCATGCTGCAATTCTCTGCTGGCTTCACAATTGCAGGTCGTGATTGGTGCGTCTTTCTATATGATCGCATCCGTTCCTAATGTCCCAACAGGTCACATAATGAAGGTCTCTTGCACACAGGTGATACTATTCCGAGCGTGCTCAAACAGCTGCTGCCCTTTTTGGCAGACTCGTTCTTGACGGGTAGAATGTTCATCATCACAATCTGCACGCTAGGCATCTCCTACCCGCTATCGCTCTATCGAGACATCGAGTCTCTCAGTCGCGCTAGCGCAGTGGCCCTCTTTAGTATGGTCCTGATTATTGTGGCCGTCATTGTTAGGGGGCCAGCGATGCCTCCTGAATTGAAGGGAGATCCTGCTCAAAGGGTGAGTTATAGTCGGCAGGAAGACTTAATCGCGTGGCGCGCTTCTCGGCTAACATCATGATCACGTGGCTGGACCTTCAGTTCACCATCATTGCCCCCAGCGGCATCGTACGCTCCATCGCAGTCATTTCCTTCGCTTTCGTCTGCCACCACAATTCGCTGCGTGAGTATATGTTTTGGGTGGTAGTGCTGCGGCGAAGCTGCTTGCTGACCTTGACCCTGAGCGCGCGGCAAGTCATCTACGGCTCGCTCAAGGAACCATCCATGGATAAGTTCCAGCGAGTGACGCACTACAGCACAGCTATTGCTGCTAGTGCTGCCATCGCGATGAGCATCGCTGGATACTGGTCCTTTACAGACAAGACTTTGAGCAATGTCCTTGTGAGCTGTTCGCGCGAGCTGCACACAAGCTTGCTTTGCTAAATTCACGTCAGCTCATTCCTCGTCGCCGCTCCCTCTGCTTGCAGAATAACTTTCCTCACGAAGACACAATGGTCAACGTGGCTCGATTTCTGTTCGGCGTCAACATGTTCACCACGCTACCGTTAGAAGCCTTTGTAGCTCGCGAAGTGCTCGAGACCTACTTTTTTGCGGGCGAATTTGATCAGACCCGGCACATCATCTTCACCTCTGCCCTCGTCGTTTCGGCCATGATAGTCAGCCTATCTACGTGCGATTTGGGAATAGTGCTGGAATTGACAGGGGGTCTGAGCGCTACAACCCTCGCCTTTATTTTTCCAAGCATCTGTTTTCTCAAGCTGGCCAACGATAGCTCGTCCAGCGCAAGGGTGGATCGAGTCGTGCCAGAGCTGACGAGCGAGAGCAATACGACTTCTCGAGGACGGACGAGCAGAAGATCGGGTGGTGATGGAGAAAACGAGGAGAGCGAGGATGAGGATGCGCAACTGAGCGATTTGGAAGGCGAAGCGGGAATGAACGAGGCGGATTTGACTGTGGATGAGATGGAATTGCCACTCAGACCGGGAGCTAGAGCTAGGCAGCGACCACCCGGATCTCAAAAGAGACCATGGTGGGCCTCTACCAAACCTTTGGCCGTCGTCACTGCCCTCTTTGGGCTTGCGGTTCTCGTCATCAGCGGTAAGTCTTGCGGGCGCTTGTCCAACTCGCAATCAACGCTCAGCAACCACGCGCCAGACGCGATTACCTTGCAAGCTTACACATATTCTTCATGGGTCTGGTTTCACAGTCCTGCAAGCTTTGGGCGATGCGGCTGAGGGACGTGCTGGGGCCGTACATCAATGCTAGATGCTCCCGAGGTGCGCCCGTCTGATTAAGTTCAAGACTGGCAATAGTTCGCTACCTGTGCGCTATTAATACAATTACAGTGGACAATCAAATGCGAGCGGTGAAGAGCTAGAGCTTGAGGACATAATGCTAGAGGCGTGCGAAGCTATACATCTCGGGCCTGGGAGCACGTACAGGTAAGATGAGCAGACGCAGCGTACAGTCACGAACACGTGCGAACATGAAAGTGTGGACGAGAAAGATGGAATGGGAGGTAGGCGATCTGCACTCCGTGACGTGGGCTTGTGCGTCGCGTTCTTTGACTCCGAAGAAGAGGTTTTCAGCGCTCAGAGATGCAGTGTCTTGCAATGCCGGCTTGCGTGCTCCAAGCTGTGCACGACGTTGAAGAGGCTTCGCCGAGCGCGCACCAAGCCGATCAAGCAGCAAAGGATCTTGAATCAAGACTCACGATCGACTTGGCCTCGAATCACGAATGGTGAATGTTAGTTCACCGTGATGCTTGTATGATTATTATGGTGCGTGCGTGCTGAATTACGCGCGTGCCCGCACCATGCAGCCCGTGCGGGCCGCGCACCGGGACTGGCAGCCAAGCAGGGTGCCACGTGGTTCGTGCAGGTCCATATCCTGCAAGCTGCAACGCACAGCCCTCATCACACGCACAAGCCCGCCGAGCAACTCATCACGACGGTGTGACTGGATCAGTGGAACGGCAAAACATCAACTTCGAGCGATCGAACGTCGTACAAGCCGAGTTGCACGCAGCAGCACAACGTCAGCGACTCATCAAGACTGCATTCAAGAGGCGTGGATCAGACGCTTTCAGTGACAGAGTCGGACATCCACATCGACATTGCGACAATTACCGCACTGCCTTGAGCGGCGTTGTAGCTGCCCGTTTCTTTCGCAGCTTGTCAGAGCATACACACGCTGCATTCAGCTCGCCAGCTCGAGGGTTTGGATCGGCTCATCGCTCGGCTTCAAACCCCATCCTGGCTTCAGCTATATCTACCAGATCCTCTCATCTTGACCACATTGAGCACACGTAGCCCTCAGCAAGCAGCTTTGGCTCTCATCACAACCCGCTCAATCATGTCCAGGCCGACTTCTGTTCCTGGATCAGCAGCGCCTGGGACGAGCGGCTACAGCTCCTACACATCCGCGGGTGTGCCTGGCTTGAGCGGATTCGGGAGAGGTGCAGCTGCTTCAGGCAACGCTTTTACCGGTGGAGGTGCACCTGGCTTGAGCCTAGGATCGGGCAGCGAAGCTGGCTTTGGTAGAGGTGCGTTTGCGCTCAGCAGCTCCTGCTCTGTTCTGGAATTGACTTTAGCCAGCGAGGGAGCAGAGGTCAAAGCGTCCTGGACGCTCATATAAGCTGACCGCGCCACACGTACATTCGTTTACCTGTCTCTTGAGAACGTAAAGGCAACGCCAGTGGCTTTTCGGGAGCAGCTTCAGGAAATGGAGCTTCCAATCTTGGAGGTCTACTCAACGCTCAACAGTTTGCGGCTGCGCAAGCTCAGGCTCAAGCGGCGGCAGCAGCAGCAGCTCAGCAGCACGGGCTAGGCAGTAATACGCAAAGGTTGGGGTCGGAGCTCTACAGCAGCACATTGAGGAATGGGGCATTAGGAGCGGCAAGTGGAGCGGGAGCAGGTGGATCGTTGAACAATGACGACTTCCCAGCATTGGGAGCGCCTTCCAATCCCGCTACCGCTGCGAGTGGCAATGCAGGGGTCAGGGAGACGAGCGAATCATTGAGCAACGCAAATAGCGCTGCTACCGCATCTGCTTCACTGGCGAATGTTGCGGCTGGTGGTGCAAACGCTGTGGGAGGCGCGGGTGCGGGCGAACAAGCTTCGGCGGCGGCTGCCTTGCATGCTCAGCATGCTGCCAGGGAAGCGCATAGACTCAACTTGCTCGGCAGCTTGTCTCCTTCTGTCGCCAACGCGCAGGGCGTGAATGGTTCTGCAAACGCCAACGGCATTGCCAATCCCTTGAATGCGGCTCGCGGCGGTTTCGGAGACGCAGAAAGGGTAAGTGAGAAGCAGGGTGGCAGGCTGTCGCGAGGATCCAAGAGACTAGGAGAAATGTGAACTTCTCCGAGTCAAGGCGGGCCCCGATCATGTTTGCCCGAGCAGTATTGGCTTCGCTTGGCGACAAGGGAAAAATGCTTCAGCTGGCACCACGGCTCCGTGCTGACTAGCACTCGCCCACCCTCACTCAGAATTACGCGGCGAAACCTGGCATGGGAGCGCCGCCTGGCATGGCGTCTGCTTGGCCCTCAGGAGGTGCGTGTTGGCGGAAGGAGCTGCGATGATGGATGCTCAGGCTGAAGCGCCCTTTCTTGCGAACGCGCCCCGCGCAGGGACACTATCGAGGTTGGATGACGGCTCTGCAGCCTCGCAGCACGCGCAGCAGCAGCAACAACAGCAGAGGCAACAGCAGCATCAGCAAGCGATACAGGCCGCAGTGATGAGGTCTACGCCCGTGTCACAAGTCTTGTCTTCTCCGGCGGATAGGTTTGGGTTGGTGGGCTTGCTGAGCATCATCAAGATGCAAGATCCTGATGTTCAAATGTTGTCTCTCGGGACTGATTTGCAAGCGATGGGACTGAGCTTGGAGGCTCCGGAGTGAGTCACCACCCACTAGCGACTATCATCCACTCGGCGGAAGATGTGGACCGCTCACGCTGCTGCTATGCACTCTTGCTTTTGCCTTTGCCTCACGCAGAGCGCTGTACTCGTCCCTTATCACACCGCTGTCGGACAACAACATGGCAGCAGCTTTGCAAGTGGAGCCAGAATTTCACTTGCCGTCATGTTACAATGTCTCTCCTCCTTCGCCAGCACATCACAAGGTGGACAGCTTCAGCGACGAGACACTCTTTTTCATCTTCTACTCCATGCCTAGGGACGTAATGCAGCAGATTGCCGCTGCCGAGCTGTGAGTCCAACGATAGCTGTTACCTGTGCTTGAATCGTTATTCGAGGCATTTAATCACTCACACGATCTGCTGCGCTGCTCTTGCGCTAGCTACCAACGCAATTGGCGATTTCACGTCGAGCTGCAATTATGGCTCACGCAAAATGGCGAACCAACGCAAAAGACGCCGACTTACGAGAGGGGCTCTTACGTCTTCTTCGACCCGCGGACTTGGGACAAGGTGTCCAAAGGTGAGGCCACGAGATCCGGAGGGCGCGCGCTCGAGTAGTGTGCTTAGTGCTCTCTCCCTTCTCCTTCTTGCGGCTCCCAGATATGGTACTGATGTACGACGCGCTGGAAGAGAAGCCGTCACAAGCTGCCATCTTGGCTCTGCAGTCTGCCCAGCAACCGGCACCACAACAGTCCGCGCAAGCAGGCGCTCCAGCACAACAACAGGTACAGACACCGTCCTTGGCGCAAAGGTGAAAGGAGTCCGTGGGCACGTGTGACCCTCAAAATTTTGCCCTGCTATGCTCGTTCACAATTGATGCAGCACCCCTCTCAGCTCTGATTTGATCTGAACTGACGCAAGTTGCTTGTACTAATTACAATCCCAAATCAATTCTTGTGGACGTTTGTATCCCCGCGTCCTCACACCAATCAAGCCCGAACCGTTCATCACTTCGAGCGTACTCGACTTTCCCTCGTGCTATATGAGTCATACTTTCCTCGACATGCAACGAATGAAAGCGAAAAGAAGACAAGACTATTGCGATTGCGCACGGGTGAATGAACAGAGATACAGGGATGGCGCGAGTAGAGCAGGGTAGAGAGAAGGTCCGATGGCATAGATGGGTTCTTACATAGCAGTCACGAGTGGAGGAGTGCGCAAGAGCAGCGTCAGAGAAGTCACACCACTGACCGACTTGCTCATCTCGACTCAGTCCAGGGCTCAGTCAATAGACTTTTGAGGGCAAGTTGTAGCCTCTGATCCACCTCTTCAGCCGTCACTCTAAAGTGCTCCGCCGTGATGCGAGCCACACACGGAGTGTCTGCCATATCAGGCACTGTAGAAGAGAAGAATAGGAGCCATAGAGACCTGAACATGAGGACAAAGTCTTGCGTTGTTGATGACTTACCGGTGCGGGATGCAAAACGCGCTTCGTCGCGGTGCAAAGAGCTTGCCGTGTTGAGCGCTGGCGCTGCGAGACCGTTCGGAATGGGCGTAGCGTTATTGTGCTGACGTGAAGGTTGATTGAAAACGCTGCCAGTGTGCAGCCTGTTGGACGACTTGGAATGGCTCCTCAACGCAGATCTTTCGCACCTTCGCATCACACTGCAAAAGGTCTGAGCTAGAGTGCGCAAGATCTGCAAGACGGTGGCTTGGCGACTCGTGCACGGTCCGGATGCAGGTACATGTGTAGCCAAGACCGCACGAACAGTCTGTGAGTCCTCAAGGTTCAAGACGACTTGACGAACATATTTCGCAACACGTGTCGACTCAACTAAAAAGCGGCTAAAAATACAATCAGACAAAGAGTGCGAAAGCCTTGGGAGGTGGGACAGCAAGATCAAAGGAGGAGGTTTGCGCGATCGTGGAAAAGATAGCACAAGACCAAAATGAGCGTGGGGAACCGGCGGCTCGGAAGCTTGCTCGGATCTGATTTGCGTTTGGATAGTCGAGAGATGTTGGTATATTCAAAGCAAGGCCTCGGAGAGCTGCTGCTTTGTGGACGGTTGATCAGAGAGCAGCACCATAATGCGACATCCGATTCGAAGGCTGGCCGTACGACTTCGGCCTTTGATACTCGGGCATCGGCATGCCGAACCCTTCCGCAGGCTGAGCGCCGTAAGCAGACATGGGCTGATGAGCCGATGTGTGCTGTTCCGCGTGTGGGTTCGGCATGTCACCTTGATATCCGTACTGCGGCGCCGGGGCGCGAGAAAGTGGCACATGGCTTGAGCGAGGAGGTGATCGAGAGATGGCCAATGGCAGGGGCTCTCGGAGGTCCACAGATTGCGGCAGAGGTTGATCGGGATAAACAACCTGGTGATATGAACGTCTGCTGTTGGGCGACGTAGCTTCCATGCCGTATGATTGGCCTTCGTGATGTTGCCCATAAGGCGTAGCAGCAGATGCGTGAAAGGCGGCGGAGGAGATGTTGGAATGCGCCAATTGAGCTTGATGCCCTTTAGGTGATGGAGGCAGGAACGGGTCGCGAGGACCAGGACTGCGTGGCGAGTGGATGTCTTGTCCCATCTTGGCAGCGCTCGCAGTGTTGACGCGTAGGTCCTCCCTAGTCATGCCAGCAGGCGCTGCATTAGCGAGCAGGGACTTTCGTTGAGATTGCGACTCTTTGGATCCATGATGACCGTGAGAAGACTGCGTCATGGTGTTTGTCCTCCTCAGCTTTTCAGCAGCGGCAATCTCCTCTTCCTCCTTTGCTTTGGCTGCTTCCCTTGCTTTGCGCTTTCTGTTGCACACGAGCCAGGTCCAAGTGCAAACGAGGGCGATCAAAGCGACACCAGCTGCTGCGACGGCCAGGATCTCCCATTGATTAAGGCCGGAAGTGTAGGAAGAAGCCTTGTCGCCTGCTTTGTTAGCACCGCTCTCCAATCCGCTCGTCACGCCTGTGAGAGCACCTTGTCTTTTCTCCAAGTGAAGGGCGAGGTCATCGAGAGAGCCTGCGGCGCGAGAGCGAACGCGTTGCATTCGCTGAGTCGACATTGGATGTTTCGGATAGGAGATGTGTATAGATGGAATAGAAAAGTATGAGGACGCTTTGAGATCGGGCAGCCAGATGAACCGTTGTGGTGGAGCGAGAAGCGAGTCGAGAGACGAGGAACAATACCTTAAAAAGTAGTCGCTTGATGCAAAGAAAATTGTCGCCCACCTACGCAAGAGTTTTCGTGCGGAAGTAGAATCGAGTACGTGCGACGAAGCTGTGATCCGAAGCGGCAGTGCAACGGGCGGTTTGAGTGGGAGCTACCGGCTTAGAAACGTGGCCCCCGAGTGATGTTTAGATCCGAACGTCGTCAGACTACAAGTGAGTCCGGGCTGCTGCTTGCACGTTTGACACTAATGAAGAGCGCCAAAAGAGATGCCAAGCTGGCGCTTTCGGAATGTAGATGGACGCTACGCGGCGGAGAGACTGTTGGTGGCTGTGGACGGATGCGGCAGTGGCGCGAAAGAATGAGTGTCGGTATCGCGAAGAGGCGAAGTGTATGAGAAAGGAGTGTGTGGTATCGAGTGATCGGGAGCAAAGTGATTAATTCCGTAGGTGGTGATGTGGGGGATTAGCAGTAGAGGAGAGCGAAAGTGAAGCGTTTGGAAGTCGGAGGCGCCCGATTTTGCAACCGGAGGTGGTCAGAGAAGAGGTTCTGATGCAGCAGCGGCGCGGGGGCGTGGTGCGCGCGCCTTCCTTGCTCATGCAAAAGCGGGCTTCTCCCTTGGATAGAGCGCTGTAGGCACCTGAGCAGCATCTTCCCTCGAATGCTCAAGAGCGCGCTAGCCGCGTCGTGTTCGATCCGCTGCAAGACTTGTCCAGTGTGAGTGCTCCTCCTCTCTTTGCCTCGCTGCAGGTGCAGAGACACGCGCCCCGCCGCGTAGTGCGTGTAAATTAATTGCATGCACTCCGATTTGAGTCCGCGCTTCGTACCCGCCCCTTTGGCATCTGCTCTTGCATGCCTATCTAATCCCGCCATTTATCTGGCCCAGACCCTGAGCTCTCATATAGCATTCAGAACGAGCTACCGAGAGTCTGTAGGCTTTGGAAGCAAGACCTTACCAGTACACAACTCATGGCAGGTGAATCCGCGCCCGGAACAGCCATGTTCAAGTGCAAGAGACAATCATAGATGAACCTGACGTCACCCATCCCCACGCCTGCATGGACGTGATCAGGCGTTCGGACGAAGTTTTGGCTTTACAGCGGAGCTATAGACGCAGGCACAGAAGCAGTGCGGCGTCCTCCACTCTAGGTTCGTACAGACTCGGGTGCAGAAGCCGCAGGGCGGGGGGTCTCACCTAAGCAGACAGAAAGAAGCGCGCGCGCGCGTTGAAACGTACGCGCGTAATGGTCGTGAAGATCATTGTGCATTAGCCCAGCATCAGCTCGCAGCTTGCATAATGCAGATTGCTTCTGGCCCCGGACAGCAACTACTGCAGGTGAGTCGAGCGCGGTCCCAAAGCGACAGCAGCAGCAGACTCGAGCATCAAACCGGCGGGTGTGTTCTGGTGCATTCGACTATTCTTTTGTGGGGAATAGCAACGCGGTCCGTGATGGTGTCAAGTCGCCGTACTGTACAGTCATGAGTACTTCTCGCTCGCGCGCAGTCGGTCGACATCCATGCATCTGGCGCGCATCACTGCACGCGCGCTCTTTCACGCTGGCTCGTGGCAGCACGCATTTCGTCCTGTGCCGTCGCTTTGTTGTTTGGGCAACGGGGTATTTGCTTGACTCTGCTCAAGCTAAGATTCCATACGATGGCTTTCTTGTACTCGCAATTTGGGGGCCGAATGCGACTATGTGGTAAGTCCGACATGTCGCAAGCTGCTTGGTCCGAAAGCGCCCAGTGATTCCCACAGGCAGCACGTGTCGACGCCGTCCGTGATCCAAGGGCAGAGCCGCTCAACAAAATAATGCAATAGACATTTGGTAACAGACGCGCACGCTGTGATGGCGTCCGTAATGATAGTTTGTGAGAAAGTGATAGACAGGACGCAGTGGAAAGTTGACCGCTGTCTGGGTAGAGGGAGTGCAAGAAAGGTGCGCAAAGGCGAATGACGAGTGCAAGCGGCGCGAGAGACGCGGAAGTTGCTGGGAGCTACATTACTTTTTGGAAGAGAACAAATTCTGTGACAAAGCCGGCAATCAGTAGTCAGCAGCAATTCTTCCCACAGCCGCATCCTACATCCATCCTGAGGGCGCGCGACTCACCTTGAGCCTCTTTTTCTCCTTGCCAGCTGCTCCGACAGGGTTGCTTTGGATGGAATAAGTAGCGGAAGGAGCTGGACTAAGGGACCTGCCGTCTGCAGACCCGTGACCCGACGTCGAAACGGCGCCCGAGGCCTGATGGTGCGAGTTGTACAAAGAAGCGCTCGAAGATGGTCCATATGTCTGAGGAGCACGTGAAGCTTGCGGCCGAGAAGCCGAGCTGTGGTTTGATTGAGCGCTCGATTGTCCATATCCGTGATTAGTAGTGTCGTGCGGAGCAGGCGCAGCTCCTCCCCCATAGCGACGCTCGTATGCTCCTTGATCAGCCTCGAATCGTTGAGCTGGTACCGAGGCTGAATGGCCATTGCGCCCGCCTCCGTAACCCTGCTGAGGTGCGCCATCTCCATAATCTGCATACTGACGAGATCCTCCTCGACCGGAGCGCGCAGCGGCAGCACTAGATCGCAAGCCGCTCGCATCGTTGTCCGGCTTGGAAAATTGATTGGCGCCGGTCGGAAGACCGCTCGCAAGGCCAGATCGACCGCCGGAATGATGCTGGCCTGCACCTTGGTGATGATGTGCGCCAGCTCCACTTGCCTTGCCGAATCTTTTCAGCGAGTCGAGGAAGGAAGCAGGAGTAAAGATGTGCGAAGAGCCTGAAAGGGCATCAAGATGTCAGAATGAGTCGCGTGTTCCCGCGCAGAGCTCTTCTCTATGGGTTTGACTCACCAATGTAGACGTCTTTGGCCAACCTGTCTGAGACCTGATAGGCGCTGCGGACCTCAGAGTAAGTCATGCCACCAGCAACGAACACGAGCACTCTCTGCCTTGTAATGTCAGCCCGTTCCGCATGGTTGCTGCTGCCCCCACTGTGTCCTCCACCTCTGCCTTTCTGGGCCCACGTGGGCTTTGCGGATCTCAAGCTAGTCGGGGGTCCTCGGGGCGCAGCCGCATTGCCGGTCAAAGCAGGGCTTGCGCCCCTTGAGATGGCCGATGCCGCATCTCTCAGGCTGCCCAGTCCTCCGGTGCTCGCTGCGCTAAGTGAAGATGCGGACGCAAAGTCGGGGGGCGCATCCTTGACGTAGGGGTAGGTGGTCTGGTCCAGCCTTCCCGCAAAGTGATCCTCCAGCATGAGCTTGACCAAAGGCTGGTACCTGCTCAGCTCGTACTCGTTCTCGCCCGGCGCTTGCCTCCTCTTGCCCTTCTTGAACCACGCGTCCCACCCACTGTTCTGGGGATCCTTGAGTACTCTAGCCCCCAAGTGCACCAGATTGTCCACTGCGTCCATCTCGTGCAGACCCAGCCTGGCGTGCTGAAACAGGCGTTTCCGGTCCTCGTCCGGAACGCCTTCGCTATACATGATGTAAAGCGCGATGATACGGACCTTGTCCGCGTTGCTGATCTCTCGATCATCCAATAGTGGCACCATATCCTCGACCAAGGTCCGCGGTTTCGCTCCATCGGGCGTTGTCCTCGTTGCACAGTTCTGTTCGACCATGGCCTGCTGTGGTAGTCTGCTTCTCTCGAAGATGTTCATGCACTCCTGTGCCATAGTCAAATGCAGACTCAACGCCTCTTTGGTCTCTTGCATCTCAGGCAGAGTTGCGAGCATGTCCCTCATGTCATGCAAACTGCTCGAATTTTGATGAGCTGCTGCGGTTCCTGCGTGCTGCGTGAAATCCTTCGTCAACCTGTCGATTGCCTCGGCAATGTGAAGGTGCCTGATTGCTCTCCACACGCTCTCCTCGTCGGACAATCGTGCTCTTCTGTCCTCCTTCTGGCCGACAGCGTTCAGGAACTTGTACGAATAGACTGTCCCGTCTTCTTCGAGAGGCAGCAAATCAGCCACCATTGCTTGGTATGAGAATTCGTGCAGGAAGGGTGACACTGTATCCATAGTCCGGTCCGTAATGAACAAGACACCCCTTGGCCTCGTCGAGTCGGGCTTGGGCTGATTATCGGCTACATAGTCATCGATGGCTTCTTGCAATCGGAGCGCCAGCTTGCGGGTGAAATGATCCGGACCCGACGCAGCACCCGGCCTGCCTGCTGCGCTCGAGTCGCCTCCCGCTCGTAGTCGGGCCATGCGCATGCTAGAGGCGTAGGCGGAAGTTGGCGCCGGTGCGGGGATCGTCCCGCTCGACTCTCCTTGTTGATTTGCCAGAGGTCCCAAAGGCGGGTGAGAAGGATTGTAGTATCGTATCAAGGGGAACTCGTTAAGAGAGACGCATACATTGAGCAAAGTCTGCACGCTGAATTGCAGCTCCTCCTCGATGCCTTTGAGGGCTTCGGCCGAATCCACTCCCCATGCTCCTCCAGGAGGCTGAAAGATGGTGAAGAATGATTCTGGCGTTTTTAACGAGAATACCTGAGACTCGAGTGCTGCATTGCATGAAGGGAAAAGAAGGGACTCTTGTCAGCACCGAATAGGGAACAGAACGCGCAGGGCACGCATGTACGCACCCCAGAAGTTGTTGTACAATTCGATGACTTGCCGCAAGCGCGGCTCAGCGGGTGAGCTCGTCAGGCGCTGCAGCAAGGTGTCAGAGAGAGCTGCGAGCAGGAGGGTCGTCGGTCATTGTATTCAAGGTGAATTCGGCCACAGTCTATGAGCGCGGCCTTCCAGCCGTCTTCTTATTTCGAACGACCTTGCCCGTTCCCATCGGCATCGAAGCCACTTCATTACTCACCATCAACGAAGAAAACATGGCCCGCGCTGTACCTTGTCGATCCCGTCGCATGATCAGGTGTCAGGTCCCTGATGATCCTCTCGATGTTGCTTGACGTGGGCGTTACAAAGTACGCAGCCTCGTAGTTAGGCTGCGCTTCTCTGTTGCCATTCTCCAGATTTTCCACAAGCGTCACATTCTCCCGCAATATGGTGTCCAGCTTCAAGAGGCTATTCAAATGTTGGCGTACAAAGTTGTCCACGACCAGGATCTTCCATCTCGTCGATGGTTGCACAGAGCGGATAGTGTTAAGGTAGCCTAGGTGCGTGGATTCGCAAGCGGCATGATCAGCTAGCTCCCTTCCTCAGTGCGCACTTGCTTCTGATCGCAGAACTTACGCTCTCTCGATGTTGCTATCAGCGACTTGGGAGCCATCGTGCCTCGTGTCGCTGAGATCGCCTGAGTTATGACTGTGTGATCGCAGTCTCGACTTCCGGCGGGGGGCTGATGACTAGTCCTTTGAAGTTTCCGCCTTCCTCTGTGGCGGAGAGCGGATAAATTTGTTGGGCCTATCTTAGTTCCAGCTTCAAAGACAGCGCAGCACACCTTCAGGACGGCCCACTATGCGCACCCGATGTTGCAGGTGTTCCTCTCAAAGATGATCCTCGCGGAAAGAGGATGCCAGAGATCGACGAGGTTGGAGGAGAATCTCTGTAATTTGGGATCCGGAATCGCATGGGCTCCAAAAGAGGCTAGCTCTACCACCACTACCACTGGCGGCTACTGAAGATGTGGCCGAGGATGGAGTTGCAAATTGAGCGCGTCTTCAACCACGAATAGTGATGTGATCCAAAATTGTGAATAGCGAGTCAAGTGTGTCTTGGTGTCGACTCCATCCACTCGTCATTCGTGTGAGTGTACCTAGCACATCGTACCGTATCATGCGCATCCATCCAGCAGCGCGCTACTCAAGGCTACGCAGGCGGGTGCGAGGACCGCTACGGGGCGGATCGATGCAGCAGGATACTGCATGGTCACCGTGCGCGCGTGCAACAGCCTCGATGATGACGCCCTGCTCTCGGACGATCCGCATGGCGCTAGTCATAGAGACACGTGACCCGCAACCCACTCTCTACAGATTAGTCTCGACTTTCTGCGCACGCTCGTCCTCGATTGAGCGTAGCACCGCCTCGCCAGCCGATGCAGCAAGCCATGCAGCGACCGGAGCGTACGTTTTGAGGCTCCGCAGGCGAATTTGAGCATCCCTACACCCACCACGTCTCAATCCTGAGGAATGGCTAGGAGCACAGGAAGCGTCTCAGAACGCACCTTTTCAGAGAAGAAGACAGTCGGATAAACGCTATATGCGGGAAGGGACACGCCAAGAAGTGCGGGTGAACAGAAAGCAATCCAGGTGGCTTGGATCAAACTCTTGAGCCGTTTCGTAGGGAGGCATTGAGCGCAGAAGAAGCGTTCACACAGCGAAAGGGCGTACTAGCGGCATGCGTGGGAATGGCATAGCCTTCGGCAAGTCATGCAAGCATGTATGAGAGGTGTTTGTAACGCCTCATCCTTAGCTGCTCGACTGAGC